GTTGCTTGTTTGTCTGGTTGCTTGCTTTCTTGCTTGCTTGCTTTGCTCGCTTGCTGGCTTGCTAGAATGCAAGCTTGCCTGCTAAAGAGCAGCAGCACTAGTGGTGATAGTGATAGTGGCGGTAGTAGTAGTAGTAGTAGTAGTAGCAGCAGCAGTAGTAGCAGCAGCAGCAGCAGCAGCAGTAGCTGCAGCCGCAGGAGCATCCGCAGTGCCTGTTGCGCTGCAAGCTCTCTCTGGCTGCCGAGTTGCATCATTCCAGTGGTAGCGTCGAAGGACACATTGGAGCAGTACCTGCTTCTAAACCCTAAACCCTACAGGGAGCCGAGATCCTGACAGCAAACAGCCTGAACCACTCAGGTTATGGTTTGGAAGAAGCTCTTGTCTGTGGCTTCATCAAGACAGAGGGCTCCTTACTCGGGTTCCTATGTTAGGGGTCAGCCCTAAGCTAAACCGCGGCACAGGGTTTTTTCACAAAAAGGCATGTATCACGCGTGACGCTTAGCAACACGTTGGTCGTTTCATTGTGGCAGTCCTCATCCCTATCGTTATCCACACAGAGCCAGGATCGAAAATCTCCGCAAACACCAGCAGAGACCTCAAGCCTACCTCCGTAATCATCAATAAAACCCTAAGGCCCTAAGAGCTAAACCCAAAGCCCTAAAGTGGACCGTCAGCTTCCCCAGTCACGACAAGAAGAGGCTCGAAATATGAAGGGATGCTCTACCCATAGGCTCCTTAGTAGTTCCTTTTTGGGGATTACCTTATAGGCTCCTAAATACCAACCACAAAAAGGAACTACCAAGGAGCCTATGGGTATGGGTTCGTTCAGGGTTCCCAGGGGAAGGTTCGATGAGGCCTCTTCCATAAGGGACTCATAGCTTGCGCAAGGGGCAGCATGGTTCTATGTGAGGGTGCCCGTTGTTTCGGGGAGTTTCGGATCGGCTTAGGGGTTTAGGGTTTAGGGTTTCGGGGTTCTAGTTTCGGATCGGCTGCCGGGGGTTTTGGATCAGAGGAGGATCGTTTCGGCGCCCAGGGGAGGTCAGTTTTGGAACGCGGGTCTGGCAGTTTCGGGGGCCATGCGGGCAGTTTCAGTCCGATTCTTGGAGCCCTGAGCCGCTGATGGCGTGAGACCGAAACTGACCATGTCCTGATCCGAAACTGTCCGGGACCATGTTCCGAAACTCCGCCCCAAAATTCAGCACCGAAACTAACCTCGAAAATCCTGACAAACTCACAACTTCCGGTTTCTATATAAGGGTTCTTTGAGGGTCTCTAGGGTTACTTTTAGGCCTATGAGCCCTCGAAACCCTGAACCGCCGGAGGTGCATTTCCGACATCTTGCAGATGACAGGGCAACCGGAAGGATACCAGTCCTGCAGCAAAGGAAGCAACGGGCGGTACTCACGGAAACTCAGTTTAAGTCAGAGGATGGGTCGTATGTAACCTTTGGGAATTTGGGGGGGCAAGGGATAATGGAACCGCATACAGGAGTAACTGTAAGCATGCTGGTAATCGCCGCAATGGAGTGAAGATGATGGGACGAAGGTGGCTTGATCCGGCTTCCGCGATCTGGAACTTCAACAGCCTAAAGCCAAGGCTGCGATGTGGTGTGAGAAGTGACGTGGCACACGCGCGCCCTCCGTGAGAATGGTTGGCCACCATGACTGGCGGATAATGAAGCAAGCTTTCTGTACGCACACTTTGGTTCTGTAGATCAACCTGTCTGACCGAGCACCCATCTATCGATAAATGAGATTGGCTGCTAGGATTTCAACCATTCACACGCTCTCAGCCCAAGTTCATGTTATAACGTGTTCGAGAAGGCTTCTCGGATCCCTGCGTCCCTACTTTTGAGGGGTCCATGTACTCATATAGTTTTTTGCTTTGGCCCCAATGTACCTATATAGGGACTACTTTAAGGCCAATGTATATACTATATGAGTACATGGACCCTTAGGGTACCTTAAGGGGGACTCCGCCTAAACCCTTAAAGCCATAAACCCTAAAACCCTACAAGCCCTAAAACCCTAAACCCTAAAACCCTAAAAGCCCTAAAACCTCAAACCCTAAAACCCTAAAAGCCCTAAAACCCTAAAGCCCTAAAAGCCCTAAAACCCTAAAAGCCCTAAAACCTTAAACCCTAAAACTTAAAACCCAAAAAGCCCTAAAACCTTAAACCCTAAACGGAGGTTCTCAAGACAGGATAAAACCACTGGCCGTAACTCGCTGCCGCCTTCGGGTTGCTGCTCTTAGGGTTTTCAGGGATTCTTTTTGTTTAAAGTGTAAGGGTTTAGGGGTCTCAGGGTTTCAGGGTTTTGGGGTTTTGGGTTTCAGGGTTTAGGGTTTTGGGGTTTCAGGGTTTTGGGTTTAGGGCCTCCTTTTCCATCTTTCCCTCAGTACACCTCCCTCCTGCTGCTGGGGACGACAGCTGTTCCTGTTACAGTGCTGCTGCTCATGTCTGCGATGTGTGAGCTCAGGCTTTGGCCGGAGCAAATGGGGAGGCGCTGTGACGGTGCCCAGCGCCGTCCCGGCAGCTTCTAATCTGGGACTTATAAGGCTCCAGGATATGGGCTTCTGAATACAGCACAGTTCCTTCACTTCTGTCTTACTCGAACACAGCAGCCCGCATCCTCCCGAGTTCACAACTCCTCCACCTATTCACATCTTCATCCTTCAACCCCTTTAACCGACTAAATCACTGAACCTGAAACCCAAACCTCAAGCCCTCTACAGCTTGAAGCTTTGCCGCGGCACCGTGGGATAGCACTCCGTCATGCCGGTGTCCTCCGTCACACTCCGGATGGCTTCGAATAGACCCCGATAGCTTAAGTTTAGGGTCTATTGGAGTCTTGGTTTCGGGTTTAGGCCCAGGTTTGACAGTATTAAGGCTGGTGGCTTAAGTTCATTAGGGTATTCGATGTTGGGCACATAGTTGAGGTTTCGTTAGCGTTGAGGGGCTGGGGTCGATTTAGAGTTCCCCTTGTACGTTGGATAAGGACCTCATCGCTCGCACGTCGAGCGTAACAAAGGAGCCTTTGCATGATGAGAATTAAACCATAAACCCTAAACCCGTAAACCCCTAAACCTCTAAACCCTAAACCCTAAATTCCCTAAACCCTAAACGTTAACCCCTAAAACCTAAACCCTAAACCCTAAATCCATAAATCCCTAAATCCCTACATCCCTAAATCCCTAAACCCTAAATCCCTAAATCCCTAAACCCTATTCAACAGGGTTCCCTTGATAACAGCTTTTGGGAGGCTTCGCATCGTCAGGACCCGAGGGTCAAATCGGCATCCACTCGGTGGGGTTTAGGGGTTTAGGGGTTGAGGATGATTTAGGGGCTTGGGGTTATGGTTTCGGGTTTAGGGTTTCAGGATGTTTTAGGGGTCTGGGGTTGAGGGTTCAGGGTTTGAGGATGTTTTAAGGGTTTAGGGGTTTAGGGCAACCCTAGAGTGCCCTGTCCGGATTGCTGCAGCTGATCTCGTTGGCTTCGCAGACGCAGCCGGAATCCGTTGCGCAGGTCTGGTTACCTGCCGCAAACAGGAGCCCGCAGCCCACAGAACCCTTGGGCCTAGCGTCTAGTCTGGGACGTCCTGTGGGGCACAAGGCACCAGAAGCCGAATCTGCTGAGCTTTTGGGAGTCAGAAAGTCCCCTCACTCGGCAGGTCAGAGGTGGAGGGCTTGGGCCTCGGGTTTCTGGTTTACTTGACACTTCATAAGTTAAGAGTCGCGGGAGTCAGTGATGCGAAACCACCCAGGATTCAGCAAAATGCGCTCGCTGAACTAAACACATTGCAACGTGAACCTATCGAACCACCTCATCGATTTATCCGAAAATGGGCGAGGGAACCCTTTCGAAATATGGTCGAAAGCACTCAGACTCCGACCTGGTTGGGGTTCAAGGAGGCCCGGATACCCCCCCAAAGGACCGCAACACGCGTCAGTCGAAAGCATACAGTTCCAGGAATTGCCTCCAAGCCAAGGTTCGAAAACCCCAATCAGGTCCTACCTGCCCTTACCTCGACGCGAAACCGAAGCGCATTAGAAGCAGGGCCTGACATGGAATGGTAGCACGTCGCTGCCTCGCCACAATCCACAGGACCTCGCCTCAAGCTGGCGCGTCATTCCGAGTCCAGGCTCAAGGATTAAAACCGAGAGTCGGCGGTGTCGATGTGTTTGAAATTCAGCCTTTTCTTTGCAACTCGGAGTTAATTGTCAAGCCTCCTAGGCTTCCGGTTTCGAACCAGGGCCCGAAGGAGATGTGTCTTTTCTGTTCCATGCGAGGTTTCGCACGTAGGCTATCATGGGAAGGAAAGTAAAACGCTATCGAGCATCGGCTCGGATGTCCGATCCAGCGACAACTTTTTAGGGTTTAGGGTTTAGGGATTATGCTGACACTGACAGTTCGTGATGCTAATGACAGAGGAAACGGCTGCTTCTGCTGCTCGTCCTCCACCGACGTAGTCCGCTTCCTTCTGCTCGTGCAGCAAGCACAATACCACCATCCTCGCGGTCATAGTTGTGAACATCCTGCTCACGGTCAGCAACACCGCCGCCACCGCCACCAACACCACCACCACCACCACCACCACCACCACCGTCGCCGCTGCCACCACCACCACCACCACCGCCGCCACCGCCACCGCCACCGCCACCGCCACCGCCACGCCACCGCCACCGCCACCGCCAGCCCCACCACCACCACCACCACCACCACGACCACTACCACTACCACTACCACTACCACTACCACTACCACTACCACTACCACTACCACTACCACCACCCCCATCACGACGACGACGACGAAGACGACGACTACTACCACTACCACTACCACTTCCACTACACCTACCACCTACCACTACCACTAAACCCACCATCCACCACCCAGGCGACGACGACTACGACTGCCATTACACTGGTGCTGCATTTATCGATGCCGGTAGCCGTCAGCAAGAGAATCAAAAGCGGGAGTAGTTGCTCATGTCGCTGAGGCCCAGCCATTCCTCCAAAGGGGTGATGGTCCGATTGTACTGGTGCTCGCTCCTACACGAGAGCTGGCAGTCCAGATCCAGGAGAGCAGTGCAGAAATTCTCAGGCATACAATCATGTCTCAGTAACTGATAGTCTATTTTTTGTGACATTGTCGCAGCAAGTGCTGGGCTGCAGGAGGAGAGCAATCGATTCGGGAAGAGTTCGCAGATCAAGAACACCTGCTGCGGCACCGGCATGTTGATCTCTCATAGCACCATGACATTTTTCCACGTGGGTAGTTCACAAAATTAGGCTCCCTGACACTAAAAGGGACCCTAACGTAGAAAAGTCATCGTGTCACCCGCTTACCATCCCACGGTTGAAGGTTGTCTCGTTTCATTTGGTGTGTCAGTGTGTCAGGCCACGCTGACAACGTCGCACATCACAGCCGGAATACCTGCTGTTGCATTGAAAGGTTATGGCGGGGTGCCACGAGCTCCTCAGCAAAAGGATCTCCGCGACGGAGCATTGCCCTCAACTTCTTCAACTCTGAGTAGTTTCTCGAGAAGGAAGACAGTGTGGTCACGAAGCTCACATTTAGTTCCGGAAGCCATACAAGGGAAGCGGCAGAGTTGAACGGCGCTAATTATCAACCCAAGCCCAAAACCTTCCTGAACCCATGATCCACCTTGCCGGCTTCTACGCTGGAAGTGTGTAGCAGGCTAGAGTGTGCAAAAGCGAGTGCAGAATGCGGACATGTTGGGAAGAAGATATCAGAGCATGCCCGATTGCTTAGGTCGAGATCGTGATCGCTACCCCAGGGCGGCTGATCGACTTTCTGGGTAGCGGCCGTCCCTGCGAGAGTTCCGCATGTTCCGTCGGAATGGTTTGAGATGCAGGGCTTCTGGGCTGTTGGACGGACAAACGGGTTGGACAGATGCGGGGTTGCAGAAAAGACGATGGCAATCCGCGGCGGCTCAAGGAAGCGCCCCTGGTTGTGATGCTCGTTTCAAGAGGACTTGCAGCAGACAGTGGCAGGTGACACGAACCTCAAGCGAGTCACGTACCTGGTCCTAGACGAGGCCTTCGGGTCGGGAGGTTCTCATCCCGCTACCAGGGTTCACTTTGTTCCGGCCCTTTGCCTGGAAAGACTCGCCCTTCCAGCCCGGTGGATTTGTGTTCGCATCGGAAGTCCCAGTCGCCTCCACAGGCCCAGAAGGGCCCCCACCGAGTCACCGGGTGCCGGAGCCTAGCTTCAGCAAGACCTCTTAGACCTCACCCAATCAAGGCCGATCGCATGCTGGACATGGGCTTCGAGCCCCAGGTCCGAAAGATTTGCAGCCAGGCCGGCGGAAAGATCCCAACAAGTTCCTATACACTTCCAGCTCCTTGTTCTCGTGGGTGTTAGCTGACTGCAGCTACTGGTTCACGTGGGTGTTTGTGCAGTGTTCTGGTTGGGGGCGGGGGGGGGGGGGGGNNGGCGCCAGCACCAGCGCCGTCATAGTTATCAGCAACGCGAAAAACATCGTTATCAACATCATAACGAGCATACTGTCACCACCGGCATCACTGTCGCTTCCTCAGCTGCAGCACTGTGATGGATTCCTATATCACATTATGTTCTCGACTCCAAGAACTTTGGCTGAAGAAGTCCAACCACCGCCATGCTTTGGAGGTACGACCAGACCGACAGACTCTGACGCTTGGCTTTGTTGTGCTGTTCAGGGTTTGGGACTTGGTGCAAGGGATTCAGGTACTGGGCTTCTGGTGTGCGAATCTGGGAGTAGCCGCGCCTGGCTTCCTCGAAAAGCTGCTGTCCGCGGCTCATGCCGAAGGGTACTCAGGAGTCGAATCGAGCTCCATAATTCCAAACTCCCATATTGCGTTTGGCACCCTGCCCGGCCCTGCCCGGAAATCTCCCCCAGGTTGAACAAGCATCAAAGCCTACAGCCCAGAGTCTTGAACCTTGAGTCTTGCGATGCAGCAGAGGATGTGGAGCGCCACCTGGCCCAAAGATGCCGGGGCCTCTATGCCTTTGGTGAGTTTGTGTGGTGAATCGGTGAAGGGTTTGGGGGTTCGGAGTGTGGGTCAAGGACTGGAGACACTGCGAGCAAGGATCAGCTACAGTATAGGTACAATATAGGAATTACCTGCTGGTCTGATTGGGGTTGTGGTTGCTGTCGCGTTCGCCTTGCAGAGCCGCATTTGCCTTCGAATGTCCTATGGATTAGGTCCAGAAACTGGCCCGCGACATCTGCAGAGAGGACGGACATACTGGCCGTAGTAATTGCTCGACTTAAGGACTATGTTCATGTGTGTGTGTGTGTGGGGCTGTGTGTGCATTGATGTATATACCTGGCAGCATGTGCAATTGGACCAGAGGTTCAGCATACTCTAACGGGAACCTTGTAGATCGCTACTTGGAGTCAAGACAAACTACCGAAGTATGTTGTTTTGCCGGCATTCGCAACAGAGAGATACGTGGCACGCAAGACCTTGTTATGTCTAGAGGACAAATGGCCGGGACGAAAGCCAAGTGCAAGTCGTCACTGCAGCATCATTCGGGTGTTGAGACGGTTCGTTTGCCGGAACAGCAAGCCAAGGCTCAGACATGCACATTGGCCAGTGTCACAGACAACCACTGACTTGAATGTTTCTCCGAGCTTCCAGGATCCTGTGCACATCAATGTGGGTGCCAACGAGCTACGCACAGCGCACACGATCCGGCAGTTTGTCGAAGTGGTTCAGGACGCCTTGTTTCGCCAATCCTGCCTCCCACTTGTATGATTGTCTTTGCAAATCAGCTGACAGGTATGACGACCCTCACACAGTCCAAGATTGCATTTCCGTTTTCATCGGTGAACATCCCCCTGTGACAACGCCAGGAAAGCGACAAACGATCACGACTCAGAAGATTGCTCGAGAAGGCACCCTGACAGAAGGGAGTGAAAAGAGAAGGACACACATACACACACACACACACACCCTCTCGCTCTCGCTCTATACGTATATATATATATATACACACACACACCCATACACATATGTTTTATAGTATACTTTAATATGAGCAACTGCGGGTCGAAATTGCCTTGTGAAGCGGCAAACTTGGCGCAGCTTTGGAAGATTTGGCACGCTCCGGAATGTTCAGAGCCCTTGGGGGTTCGGGCCTGCTTGCAAAGGTAATGGACGGCTCCAAGATCCTCATCTTCTGTGAGACGAAGAGGGGGGGCGATGAGCTGACGAGGGAGATGAGGCCACCGTGAAGTGTGGATTCGACGAAGTCGCCGTGTTGGTTTGTATCGTAGGCTCTTTACATGCACAGCGTTGCCCCGCGCATACTCCAAGTTTGGCAGGACTGATGGGTTCCCAGCCCTGTGCATACATGGCGAGAAGAAGCAGGAGGCCAGGCTGCGATGAGACTCAGAGCAAAGCTGGGGCGTGCACGCTTCTTGCATCCGTCAGATAGTCTGGCTTCATTTGTCCCATACAACCCCCTCCCACTGCCCCGGGGCACCGCAGGAACGAGACTGGGTGATGAAAGAGTTTAAAGAAGGACCCGCTGATGCGTTTCATGCCTATAGGACCACGGCTAAGCTCCTGTGCTTCGTTTGTGAGATGCATTGTTTCTTTTTGTTCAAGTTGCTGCTGGATGTGGCGTTGACCGTCTTGTGTAACGTTTCAGGCCGTGCTGCTTCAACCTTATCGTTCTAGCACTGCTTTGGAGGAAAAAACCCCATTCTCGTGGCGACGGACTTAGCTTCACGAGGTCTGGATGTCAAGGACCCGTTGCACTCGGACCTGCCTTGAATTTCCTGCCATTCCCAATTACAGTGCCATCATGATGCCCACCCCCAGCCCCACCACTGCCCCACCCCCATCACCTCAGCGCCAGCACCAGTGCCACCACCACCACCGCCAGCACCGACACCACCCGCGCCAGCAACAGCAGCAGCAGCAGCAGCAGCACCACCACCACCACCATCACCACCACCGCCACCACCACCACCACCACCACCACCGCCAGCCACTATTGCTGCTAATACTGCTGCTTTTGCTGCCTGTGCCACTACACCTGCCCCTAGTAGGCGGCAACCGCCATAGCAACTGCAACTGCAACTGCAACAGCACCAGCAGCAGCAGCAGCAGCAGCAGCAACAGCAGCAACAGCAACAGCAACAGCAACCGCAACAACACAAACAACAGAAACGACGACCGCAACCAGACTACGACCACAACTGCAACAACAACTGCGACAGCCACTGCTACTGCTGCTACTACTACTACTACTACTACTACTGCTACTGCTACTGCTACTGCTACTGCTACTGCTACATCTACTGCTACTGCTACTGCTACTGCTACTGCTACTGCTACTGCTACTGCTACTGCTACTGCTACTGCTACTGCTACTGCTGCTACTACTACTACTACCACCACCACCGCTACCACTACCATCTCTACCGCTACTACCACTAGTACGACTACTACGACGACGACGACGACTACGACTACGACTACAACTACGACTGGGACTCCGGCTACAGCCACTGTGCCGGCGACGCTGCTGCTGCTGCTGCTGCTACTACTACTACTACTACTACTACCTAGTACGACGACGACGACTACTACTACTACTACTACTACTATTACTACTACTACTACTACTACTACTACTGCTACTACTACTGCTCAACTGCTTCTACTGCTACTGATTCGTACGACTACCAATCACTACTCCAATCACAGCTTATGCCACTACTGATTGGGCCACAAGTATCAGTACCTGTCATTGCCAGTTTGTGCAGCACTGCTAGTTGTTCTTCCTGCACCCTGTGAATCCTAAACCCAAGCCTCTCTTCCGTCCTGCACGACCAAGGCTCCCACAGTTCGCACCGCACCTCGGTGAGCCATAGCGGCCTCGTGGGCGAACTCACGCCTGCCATGGTTTCCGACTCAAGACTGCAGTGCAGGTTCTGGACTGAACACAAGTCGGCTGGATGCCTCAAGCTTTGTCGTTGTAGTTTGCTTAGCCTTCGGGTATTGGGCTGCCGGAGGATTCTACAGAAAGGAATCCAAAGCCCCACAGAACCCGAAACCTAGTGGATCTCAATTTGAACGGTGCCCGCTAGTAGTCATTTTACTCTAACGGAAACAACAGCTTCGCTACCCTGCACGGCTTTGCCACTCCCACATGAAAAAGGCCACCCAACTTCACTGGCGCCCACCAGTGTACGAAAACTGCATTCAACAATCTAACGGCATCGTCGCTCGTTGTCACGTCATACACATTGCGGCGTACACCGGGTAAGATGCAGTAGCGGTCACTAGCGTTAGCTCATCAAGACCATCTGGGATGCATGCATACATACGCACATACGTATATGTACATGCATATATAAATGGGTGTATTCGTGTGTGTGTGTATATATATATATGTATTATAGTTCTATTTATTAAGCTACTTGTTTGGTTTTGCATTTCGTAAGTAAGTCAAGCCTAAGTATCTGCTCGAGACACAAAAGAGAGAGAGAGAGAGAGAGAGAGAGTGATAAAGTAAGTGGGGAGACAAATAATATGATGGCTTAACGACGAAGAGATGAATGATATCGAGCAGAGGTTCTCAAGCTCGGATTTATGAGTGTAAAATGTTGTTTGCATCCACCTGAAGGGCCTTAAGTTCAAGATTTCGGCCGGGATACACTGTAGTTTGGATGGTTCGAGAAGTTCGGGCGGCTTGCTGATATCTGCTGGTGTAGTTTATGCCTATTGCTGTGCCTGCGGAGTGGGGATTCAAGGTTTAGGGTAGGGGTGCCTTCTGGGGAAGCCTGGAGACGGCGACAGGAAAATTATGAGACCATGAAGCCCTACCCTGCTTCCCACGTCTCCTTTCACAGTCCGATCTTAGCCCAACCTTGGCAGAACCCTCAACCAGTTACAAAAACAAGAACACCACGAAGCCAACATGTAGACCCTTAAGCCATCGCCCCAAAAATCTTACAGCGCAACTCGCAAGCCCCGACAGCTCCCGAGCTTGGCATCCTCAGCCCTTCGACATCTCCATGCTGCCTTCGGGGTCCAAATGCATGGCGGCGTTTGGCTTCTGCCTTGCGCACGGCGGCTCAGAGTTTCAGCGTTGGGACTCAAGGTTCGTGGACTTCGGGCTTGTGGGGCTTGGGATCAGAACCCTATTAGGGTTTAGGGCGTTAGGGTTGAGGGTTTGGGATTGTAACCCTAAAGCAGTTTATATATGTAGGGTTTGGAGTTTGGGATTTCGGGGTTAGGAGATCTTACGGCTTGTTGGGTTGGGGACTTATAGCCCTAATTACTTATAACCCTACTTATAACTACCCATGAACCTCCCTGGCCTCATTCCCCTAACAGTCTCCCGCGCTTCGGCCTCCTGCTTCCAAAGCTCCCGCCGCCTGTTCATGCCGGGTCTTCGGAATTTGGGTTCCAATATATTCGGGGCCTAGGGTGGCTTGATGATGCTGATGATGATGTTGATGATGATGACGATGATGATGATGATGAGACTTGCTGTGGCTTTCTTGTGGCCAGTATAGCACTGCTGCTGATGCTTTCTGTTGCGATTGTTAGGTTTCTTGCCGGTGCTACTGTTTTTTTCGTAATGGGGCATTCGTCATTCCCAATCGGATTTAACTGACTAAGAGAATTTCGCTAGTTTTTCCAATTGAAATACTACAATACAGAAGCGCTCTTCTGAACGGGAGAGCTTGCAATAAGCGGGTTCAGGTTCGGGTCAAGGTCAAGGTGAACAGCCAACAACCCAGCTTGGAGGCAACACCTACCCCGGTTACACGTGGGTCGCTTCCGGGTTTCCTTGTGTAAGAGAAAGCGAACGAACCAAGTCTAGTAGCCATAATGAATCATAAGGCGTGGAAGTAGGATACTCAGGCATTCCGAGGGTTGTGCCGACATCACTCTTCCCTGATAGCCCTAAATCATACACCCGACCTAGAGCCTAAACCCCAACCCCCAGGCCATATGTATACATATAGAAATAAATAAACAAATACATAAATAAATATAAATATAAATATATATATATACATATATATATACACACAGGGTGTGCACATTTGTATACGGTGTATACATATATACATACATATGTACATATATACATACACACACACACACATCTACGTACACACATGTGCAAAGGTTTACATACATGCATCACAACCATATGCATACACCGTACAGAAAAGTGATTTTATGAGGAGCCCTAGACCGGCCTCTCGTCTTCCTGGTCTGACTTGGCTTTCGGCTCGCTGACTTCAGGAGTATCTCAGAGCAGAGTGGAAAGGTCAAGCTGGGGCTTGGACTCGGGCTTCTCTGTCTGTGTGTGTGTGTGTGTATGTATGTATGTATGTATGTATGTATGCATGCATGCATGTATGTATGTATGTATGCATGTACTGTCGTATCCTGCTGTGGGGCCGCGGTTAGTCCTGGAGACAGATGCAGCACAACCTTTGTGCGGCTTGCTCGGCTTGGTCACTAAGTCGATCGTCCGATGGCCGTGAGAGAGAGAGAGAGACACAGATGTATGTACTGTATGTAACTATATATCATAGAAAGAGACAGGTAGATACATAGATCGACGGACAAAGAGAGAGAGGGAGACAGAGAGACAGAGAGAGAGCGAGAGAGAGAGAGAGAGGAGAGAAACAGAGAGAGAGAGAGAGAGAGACAGAGAGAGAGAGAGAGAGAGAGAGGAGAGAAACAGAGAGAG